TCGCGTTAACCATATACCTAGTGGGCCGTGTCAAGAGCAAATACATTTTTCTAGGTTTTTTTTCCGCCATCCACCGTCCGACCAGACGCGGCAAAGCGACATTTCCTCGATGCGCGTTTGTGTTAAACGGTTTTACCGCGTTCTCGTGTCCTTGTGACACATGATGAGCTTATGTCGGTTCGAACGAGGTACGCTGTATTATTACCGTATCATCTGCTCTAGTCGGATCTTTGATCAACGCGTTATCGATTATTACCGTCGGCCGGATATTAATAAAATACACCGTCTACTAGTTGATGAAATTATGGAATTCCCATTGTGTTAGACACAAGGAAGCCACCGGCAACAGGACTGTTTCTAGAAGACGCTCTGAGTGAGTACCTTCTCGCACCTTGCGTATTAAGTATACACGGGGTGATATTAAAGATAATAATTATAACGCAGCTGACAGACGTGATTTCACGTCACGGTCCGCGAGTCCAAATAGAGTTTGATTGGGTTTTTTTTTATTATTATACTTTTTTTTACGAAATGTCCAATCTCGTTAAACGATAATATCTATTTACGTTAATTGATGGTTATCCGCAAGATTGTACTTATATTCAATTATTCGATTAGTTAATACAAAAGTCGGCCATGATGGGAAGACGCACGCTGTAAACTGTTGCAATGACAACTTATAAAAAATAGGCGTGCGTGTACGTTTGTCGAATTTGCATGTAAGACATCCGTTTGTTGGAGATAATGATTTCATATATTTTAAATACAAGGAAAACGATGGTAACTCAGGTCTGTCGCTTATTCTCAAGTTCATGACGCGGTGAAACTTAATACATTAACGTCAGGCGGCCTTCGGACGGCCAATGAATAATCATATATATATATTTTTTTTATATAATATTGTGCATTGTTTCCGTCCGTTACACACACAGATACCTATATAATAATTGAAAGTCATGTGTTTTCCCACTTTTAATGCCAATTCTAGGTCGGATCAGTCGAAATGTGCGCGGACCGTCGCATAAATTCATCGGTGAACTCGTGGATTAAAAATTAAATCTAGAAATGTATAAGTCATAGCCAAGATGTAACGAGTTCATTCATTTTGTATATCTATTAAGATTTTTCAAACTCTATTATGAACACAATGACCAAAGAAGTAACCATAAACTTGGCTTCAACTCAAACAATCATTGTTTAAGTTGAAGTATTATAAGCATTTAAAGTATCATTTATTTGCATATCTACATTACATACCAGACACAGCCGGGACTCAAGAGTTCATGTGGATGTAGTATATACGTTTTTATTTTTGACTTTTGTATTCCAAGGCTGAGCCATGAATAATGGGCATGTAAGTCAATGACGTTGAACATTGATGTTTAGTGGTTCGTTAAACGTAATTTAGTGGCCCATGAATGGTCTAATAAAGCTATCAATGTCTTATGCAACCCAGTAATAGTATGATAAACCATATTTTTGATATTATTAGTCGAGTTAAATGTTGCATTTGTCAATTCGATGTTTAGTTAATTTAGTATTGACAGTCGAGATAAGCGCTAGCGATCAATTTACATTGTGAGATGAGACTTTAGACTGGACTCGAGGGACCTTTGCTTGCTGATTTCATACGTCCGTGGTTAGGAGGTACAGCTTTCAAACTAAAAAAAAAAAAAACAATTAAAAACAGCTAATTTGTGATTTGTCTCGCCCAAGGCAACGTCCTGACACAATTGGCGGTTTTGGCGCACACTTGCATAATATTTTTTTACCTAAGCTCCAAACCGTAACGATCGGCGGATCTCGAAGGATGATCCAGGGCCACACGGGTTCGTTATACCGACTGTTCGGTATACTGTTACTATTATTATTATCATCATCATCATCATCATCGTCATCTTGATTGTTATACAAAGATATTGCCACATACACCTACAACGAGTAGGTTCGCCCATTCGAATAAGACATATCTGATACTATCCGATCTGGCGTTTAGCCTTGTGACGTCGGAAAGCGTTACATTACCCACGGTTGTTGTTTTAAAAGAAATCCAAAGTAATCCAAAGCCATTACAATAACAGTTGTACAGCCAACGAAATGACACACACACACATAAGACCAGCAACCGAACGCCGCCTGGAGCCAAATCGATTATTGAAAACTTAACGACATTAATACTGCATTCTCGACGTGCGGTCCGGTTAGACTACAAGACGAAATTTGCATAAAGCCCTATAAAACGTAGTATTAAAAAATAAATAGTAATAATATTTTGTCGATGTGATTGAGTACTTGTTTGCCATCAAGAAATAAATCAGTAGAGGTTAGGAAAGACAACAGTGTATTAATAGTACTACTACGGATTGGATAAACCAAGATGCACACGAATTAATATTAAAAATAGATACACAACGATAAAACTGTGTTTTTTTTTTTGGTCAAAAATTAAATTAACATATTTTAACATTTCAAAAATCTGAACCGATGGCAAGAGTCGTCTTTCCAAAGTTATTACCATTGCTATATACATTTTGTATAGAAGATTTAGACGATATTATATAAGATTAAATGTTAAATGTCAAATGACTGTGAATTTCTAAGTCTCCTTATAGGGTCAGGTTTTAGTTGTAATTAGTATGTATAAAATATATTATGTATACAGTATATAATATTATAATATTAGGATTCTAGCTGTTTGTGTATCCGGCTTAGCCCGGGTTTAAATGTACTACAACAATAAATCTCCTATCAGTTATCCTTATAATACATCCTATTATACATTTTTCCTTATTACCTTAACCAAACTTAACCTATTTTAGCCAATTAAAAAAATAAACCTTAACAAATTGAAATACAAATATATTATATGTCATCCATATATTTCTTATCCCCAGGATGTTTCTTTTGAGGATCTATATTATAATATATATATGTTGTGCCAACTTTGATCGAAATAGGGGCATCCCTTTGGACGCCTATATATAAAGAACATACATAATATGTACACTCATTCACTGATAACCGGATCCCACCTCAGCTCTGTGTGACATTTCTCATAAAGACTTTTTTATTTTTTTCGATCGTAGTGTTAACACGCCTTGGAGGAGGATTTTGTTCTGTTTACATTTGTAGGAATTACTCTGCTTGGACAGGAAGTGCACCATCCGGTTTTATCTAATCTGCAGTGTTACACATAGACTTGTTGGGCGCGTTGAGTTTATTTTTGCAAATTATTACCACAAAAAAAAAAAAAAATACCTGTTCGAGGGACTTTAATGGAGGCAAAAAAATATGAAAAAAAGTTAATTTTGTAGTTGTTGGTCGACGTCCACGTATGAATCACGCGTTGTGTACAAAAAGATTTTCACGTTGGATTATTTGCAAATTACTGTGTCGCCTCGTGTGTCCTTGTAGGTTCATTTTTTTTTAAAAGAAATCATTTTTTCTTGTCGGTTTCATCGCATGTGTTTTCCGGTAATGTAAACACGGATGATAACAACGATAATGATATACGATATCTATAATGCTATTAAAGGCGTTACTATGGACCGTGTAAGCGACCTGCGTGTGTGTGTGTATTTTGGCAATGAACGACGTGTACAGGAGGAAAACAAAGCAGACGAATAGGTGTGTGTTAAACCATACACCGTCGTCATCTTAGCAAAGAATAGTAATTTCTTCGCGGCAACAATAATGATATTATTATGCAACGCACGCGCGTGTCCAATACGGATTATTGCGAAACGCTTTTTTAATAATAATAATATACCTACAAACGTTTTCATTCAATATTTTTCGACCGACACCACACACATGTATTGTGTATGTTTGTGGTTCCTCATAGGCCATCGTCAGCCAGAGTCCTTGATAGCTATTTTTTTTTAGAAAGAATATAAAAAAAGGTATCCGAAATTGATTAACGGGTCCCGGGAAACGCCCGGTGTGTCGTGTCTTCCGTGTCGCCTGACAGTGCATTGCAGTAAATTATCGTTGTACGGCCTAAACGAGATTATAATTGCTAATGCTTGCTCGCACCGTCGACTCGGAGATTATAATATGATGAGAAAACGCATTTCACGCCACCGAACGGTCCGTGATAATAATATTTCCCATGACAATAAGGAAAACATAATAATATCGTTGTATTAGCTGCGAGGCAAACAATTAAAAGAGTCGCGCAAAGATTTCCTCGTATTCGCAACAAAAAAAAAAAACGGTGTATATAACTTATTATTATAACTTTAAACAAAAGTAATTTTTGTTTAAAATACAATTTCACTTATTAAACGCAAATCACTTATTAATATTACAAATACAAAAATCTATGTACATAATACTAAGATATGAAATCAAGATTTTAGAACAGTATGATTGTTTATTATTCTGTATTCGAATAAATTGTAAGCGAATTATTGATTTATTAACAATTTTATTCGAACGAGATTTTTTTTTGCAAAACTCCGCATATTGTAGATATGCTATGGCCGAAACGTCTTACTACTGTTCCAGCGCGATTGAAGACGGTGTACCGTGCACGTACATACACTTAAAACGGCTACAACCGGTAGCCGGTGCGTGCATTGTGCAATGCCCAGATCGCTCTGGTCGCGGTGACTGGGCAAAAGGTGTATACCTAATCCGCCCTTGGTGGCAGACGTTTTACTTTCATTTTGTCCCATATATTATATGTCTGTACCGCCGCCGAGGCGTACGGAAAACACGATATAACAAACGGTTAGCTCGCCTCCATTTTGTCCTCTAGCCATTCCCTGATCTAATAAATTTAGAAGCAGCAGCAGCTGATATCGACTTCTCATAAGATATTTTGGGGATAATACGGATTATCGATCAAAACGATCGACACGTTAAATCTAAACGCTTATCGCCGATCCCTTATCAAACCGATTTCGTGACGTGACACTATCGTTTATCGTCGTGAATTCCCACACATTTTTGCCCTGCGGTAGCATATTTTTGATTTTTGTGCGTTTTCGTTTCAGACAACAACCATGGCCGTTGCAAAGGTCTCGTTGTGGCTGCTGTCAGCCGTGGTTGCGGCGGTGGTAGCCCAGTCGAACTACGACCAAATCGAAAACAGCATCGAGTTTCCCAATCCCGACAGGGGTTTGCCCGAGTCCACCGTGCTCGACGGCAAGGTGACCAAACTGGACGAACTGTCTCCGGTTATATTCTTGAACAGGACCAAGGCGGCTCTCAATTGCGCTGCCGGTTACATGCAGGTGAGTGCGGCTCGGGCCCCGACGGCCGGGGTAATAATAGAGACGATCATAATGATAATTATTGATAATTTCGACGTTTAGATTGAACTCAAGTTCGAAGAACCTTTCTACGGTAGGGCGTACGCGGATTTCGACCGGAGCAGTGCGTGCACGGTGACCGGAAAGGGTAACAGCACGGCCAGGATCGATTTACCGTTGAAAGGATGCGGTACAAAACAGGCGGGTGGAACGGCCGTTAGATGTGGTCATTTCGTTTTTGTCAGCTGCTTATGTATATGTGTATTTTTTTTTTTTACTTAGGATCCGCAAAGAGTATTCACCAACAACATTGTGGTCAGGTTCCATCCTTTCCTGGAAATGGACGGAGACGAAGTGGTGACTATAGTGTGCAGATATCCACCACCCATCGCCCCGCCGCCAGCCGGTATACCCAACAAGATGTGAGTAAAATCATTACGGTTATATTACCACGACTTACAAATATCTTAGGACGTGTTATGTTAGGATTTTTTTAATACAATTGCCGTCCAAAAATTGAACACATTTTGTAATCTTACATACAAAAAAAAAATTATTTTATCTAAATTCCTAAAGGACTGTCTTAGCCAAAGATAGTTGCATACAACCTCAGCATACTAATCAATATGTACATTTTTCTTTTTTGTTATGTAGAAATAACATATAACTAAAAATTATATATTTAATATTTCTAACACGCACAGAAGTTGCACAAAATTCAACGCAAGGTCATGCTTACAAAAAAAAAAAATTCAGATCAGTTTTATAAAGTAGTTTATCATTTACATGCCAAAATTTGTATTCATTCTTGATGATATTATTCTATTAAAGGACCAAGTAAAGTGAATATATTATTTAGTGTTGATGCGCATAAGTATTAAATAGAAAATATTACATCAACACAGCAATAATAATATGTTCTTAGCAATATTACCAAAATTGAATTAAAAAATAATATATAATATAATAATAATATTCATTTTTGAATATTGCCAAAATATTGTTTCATCATTTTTTTACAGGAAATCGAATATTAATAATAAATGTTTTATATTATACCTATTTAATAATTATATATTAAGTACCTCCTAAACATCAAACAAATGTTAAATTATTTCCCACAAAACATTTAGAAAATATTTATACTTTTGGAGCTAGTAAATATAACTTCAAACGCTTGAAAAGTTCCAATTTTTAAATTAGAACAGTCACAGTAACCTAAGTATTTTTTCAAACGACTCTTTTTTTATTTGACTGGGTAAACATACTATATTATGTTTAATTTCTTTCATTTCCACACAGCTTGACTGTTTGTTGAGTCAACATAACATTACTGTAAGAGTATACAATTTTAAAACGTCAGATCAATATCAGTAACATGCCTTATACAACATACTCCATTTTTGAAAAAACAGAGTCGTTGATCAAAATTGTTAAGCGAGGTCGTTTGATGTTTTAAGTGTAATAATTATGTATTCGACGAGTTTTCTAGTAACTTATTAAATTACTAATAAATTGGTTCTGGAAGTTCATGCATTTGTATGTTTTACTCAATTCTCCAAATAATAGCTAAATAAGCTACAAATTTGAATTGCATTTATTTATTGTTAATAAAAAAATTATATGGTAACATGGATACTTTAAAGTTACAACTAGTCTTAACGTTAAAAAACCTAAAAAAAATATTAAAAAACAAAATTAAAACAAATTTTAAGTGCACATCGGGTGTTTTATTGGGGTTTATGTAGGTTATTTTTAGCGCATAAATACATGCATATGTACTACCGAGTTCTAGACTAAAACACATTAACAATATTGTTACTTACAAAACCCGTACTGCGTGTAAACATGTCCATGTTAAAAAAAAATTATAATCGCTGTCAAGGATTCTGTGGTAGTTCGAGAAATAAATTAACTACCAAAAAAACAGTCCTAATTACGGAGCTAATAATTATACACCACAGTTTGACCTTTAAATTAAGATTGCAAGCAAAAAATCGCCTATACCTTACTACTTTTTACGTTTTTATTTTTTACGATTTAAGAAATGTCTGTGTCTCGTTAACAACTAATTCGGTGCTTTTGTGCTACCTATAATTTCAGTGTCGATTTGCCGTCAACGCCACTCGAGCAGCCTTTAAAAGGATTCCAGATCCTGTTGATCATCTGCGGCATACTGTTTTTGTCGTTGGTCCTCCTGGGACTGGGCTGTTCGTACTACTGTTTGCGCAACCAACGCGTCCAGGTAGTCCGAAGACATCCACTGTCGTCGGTCGGATCGGACAAGCTCTCCGACTCCAGTCTTTCCATGTTCGACGGACTCAAGATACCCCGCGCTCGTGCACCCACTCTGGACAGCTCGTCCGGTTCGGAGATGGCGTTGGTCAGCGCCGGAGACACGTTGCCCAGCGACTACCCTTCGGAGTCGCCCAGTTCCGGTCAATCCGAAGCGGAAGACGTCGACGGCCGAAGCTTAAGACTCAGTTCCGGCGGATCTTACGAGAACCGAGCGTTCCAACAACAGGAATACTACTCGGAGAGGTATCAACACGAGCTGCTGCCGCCGCCGCCGCCACCGGTACAGCCCAAGTTCGACGTTCAACTCAGGGTGAAGCGAGCGCCCCCACCGACGCCCAGCCCCACTCCGCCGCCTTCCGAGTCCGAGGTCAGCATTGCCGCGCTCGAACGTAACCTGACCACCATCTTGGAGAAGGACGAGACCACCATGAGCGTTGTCGACGAACAGTACAAGTACGGTGCGCCGCCAAAGGTCGTCACTCCGCCGGTGTATTCGACGGTGGTGCGCAAGGACAGGGACGAATCGGAATGGTACAGGACCGAGGAGACGGTGGCCGTCGAGAAGCGGAAATCGCCACCACCGCCGCCGCCGCCAGCCGTCACCCATCACGCCACCACATCCAAGTACATGAGCGAAATGCAAGTGGACATAGTGGAACCTCCGGTGGTGCCGACCAAGAGGCCGGAAATCACGTCGCACACGGTCGACGACGTTTTCTTGAAGACGATCACCGAGAAGAAGACCATCGAGGACGTGGAGCGGCACAGGAGGGAGGTGGTCGAGTACAAGCCAAAACCGTTGCCGCCCCCAGGCAATTGGGACGTGACCATCAAGAACTACCCGAACCCCGACGCCCAGTATCCGCAGTCCGGCGAGGACACGGCTACCGACTGGGACAGCTACTCGGAAGCGTCTTCCGTGGCCGGTTACCCGGCCGCCGGCATAGACCGGCAGTCCAGGATCCAGTCGTACATGGCGTCCACGGCGGAGGAGCAGCGCCGTCAGAGCATGTATTTGAGCTCGGTGGAAGTGCCGGTGCCCAAGCCGGACAACTGGGAATCGTTGGTCAGGGTGTTGGAACCGGAACCGGCCGAGCCCAACGCCAGGTACCGGGTAGAGCAGACGTTGACGTTGGAGGACAAGCGCAAGTGGAGGCAGATAATCACCACGGAATCGACGCTGAGGACGCTGATCACGGAGGCCACGGTCCGGGAGGACTACGAGCGCATCCGGAGTGACCCGAGATACGAACGGATATTTGAACCGGAAAAGTGGGACGTCATCATCCGCGTGTTGGCGCCACCTCAGCACTACGACCAAAAGACTTCCGGTTCGTCCAGCAGGTACGTGAAGAAGAAAATCGAATTCGAAGGCGCCCGGACAAGAAGGAACTCGCTGCCCACCCTATACGAGTACGATTCGGATGACGGATCTAGCGTCCGGACGTTGACGTTGGCCGACGAACCCGGTCACTTTGGCCCGGCCAGATCGAGGAAAACGTCCAGATCCAGTTTTAAATCCGACATGGACGTCAGGTGAGATATCAACGCAATGCTATATCTTAAGCTTTGAAAAATTACAAGTAGGGAATGCGGGAAAGTTAAAGTATATTTTGTTAGGGAAATTTTAAACGTTCAACTATGGGCAAAACCGGCAATAAATTTCTATAGACAGACGGACAACCCTAATATTGAAAATATAATTTTAATTACATTATTGTCATTGCAATGGTTTGTCGTTATTTGTATTTCCATCATTTAAAAGTTCGCATAGAAGCGTTTATTTTGAAAGGGGTCTTATTACTTTTAGTTATGATAAATCTTGTAGATTTGTGACCTCCTCCGTCCCATCAGGCTCCATCTGTGTTTACGGTTTATAGTGAATGGAGATAATCTTGTTACAACGGGTCAACTGTCATTTGCATTACCGAGTCAGTTAACTATTATAATTGTCGACGATCTTCTTTCACGATAACAACCTAGCTGTATAATATGTAAGACAAAATCGTGACGTTACCGGTTAACGATCTCCGGTCTTATTAGCTCAATTAATTTTGAACTCTCAACTTTTCCGCATTTAAATGACTATTGAAATGTATTCTAATAAACAGAAGAAATTATAATTCTTATTTACAAATACAACATCACATTACCATAGCTGTTATAGCTCAATATAAAATTGTGACTTATTATTTTGACTCGAGAAATTTAATTTGCACGTTTCGATGTCATATTATGAGGATTAGATCGATAACCCTTAAGCTTTCTCTTACCATTCTTATTTGTCTGACATCATTCTATCTACTTCTTCTACTCAACTACTGACATTTTTTTTTTTTTGATAATATCTTACTTCCAAGAAATTTAACTATCGTCTGCTTAATTTTCAAACCTTGCCTTTTTTTAAATTACTATACTGACTAGCATACGTTATTCTGTTATTGCCTGTCTCTATTAGTGGATACATTGAAAACCTTACTAACGACTAAGTTACTAACTCCTCATTTTTCTAAAGGTATAGACTATAAAAATGCAGCAAAGTAATAGTTTTTGCCCGTCTTATGCGCCTTAAATTAAATTGCGCCTGTCGTTAGAAAATGTACCATTTTTAATAACATCTAGAAATTAAATAAACAGTTGTTTTTATATATTTTAATATATTACAAGCAGTAATACTTAAGATGATCTTCGATACATTATAATTATTATAGTGAGTTGTAACAGATGCTAATTTTATCGTTGTCTAAACAAAAAAAAAACATTTTCTTCGATCCATTTTAACACTATTTTGATACCATACGATACCATTGTGATACAATAAAATATATTATGATGATATTATTCGACTGTAAACGTTTAGTTATAGCTAAACATTTATTTCCATCGCAAAAAACAAAAATACAATATAGCACACGACTGAGTTAAATCGAATAAAACGAGGATGTAAAGCGAGCAGATTAATTGAGTAAATAAATAGACTAAATGTGTAAATAAGTTGAGTAAAAAAATTAATTAAACGAGCGAAAAAATATATTTAATGAGTAAACGAGTAGAGTAAACGAGTAAATACATCGAGACAATTAATTAAGAAATCGTGTAAAGAAGTCGTGTTAGTTAGCGAATGAACTGAGTAAACGAGGTAATCATTTGAGTAAACAAAACGCGTAAGCGAGGATACAAATCGAGTAAAGGTTTAGAGAAATCGAGTAAACGAACCAACAAATCGAGTAAAATAAGACGGGTTATTAGTGAATAAATCGAATAGACGAGTAAATCATTTGAGTAAACGAATTGACAAATCCAGCAAAGAAGTCGAGTCGATGAGTAAAAATAAATCGTGTTCGTCAACACACATTGTATATTATTTTGCTAGCTGTTGTTTTGTGCAACCCATTTGCTCATCCCTGTACTACAAGCTAGAACACTACTATACCGCAGACTGTGACTAATCACACATCGGACATTCCTCTATACGCCTGCGCGGATAGCCGCTGACCAAGTAGTGCAGAGTACACAGTACTTATCGATGGTTATTTTGCTTTTTCACAGATCCATGAGCGAGATGACCGTGGACTTCAGACGACCCGACGTGCCGGACAACTACAGCGACGTCAGCTCGGTGTACAACTACAACCCGAGGCGCGGATCCGGTTACTACAACGACGACGACGCCGGCAGCCTGGTCCGGTCGCTCAGCCAACCCTCGCTGGCCAGGTCCGCGTCCGAGTTCACCGAGAACTGGGGAGTCCGGGTCCGGTCCTACGACGACGACCTCAGCAGCCCCGACCAAACGCCCAGGTCTTCCTTCAGGCAACCGCCGGGCCAACGTCTTAGCCACGCCACCGCCGCCGCCGCCTCCTCGTCTTCGGACCGCCGTCAACATCAGCAATTCTCCACGTTTAGCAGCAGCAGCAGCAGCCGGCAAGCGTACGGCTCCGGCACGGCACCGGCCGGGTCCAGCAGACCGGGCGGTAATAATTGGTATCCAGACTCGGACGACAACGAACCTACATACAAATAACCGCCCCCTCTCCCGCTAAGTGTCATCATCGTCAACGCCGTACACAGCCGCCTTCCCTCGCCCTTTGCCAATATTATATTCATTATCATTATTATTATTATTATTATTATTAAAGGGTCCGGTATAAGAAAACCGGCCATCTCCCCATTTTTGTTTATCAGCAATTGTTTTTTTCTTGGAAAAACGATGTTCATTTTCGTGCATCGAACAGTTAAACCGGACAATTGCCAACAAAGATATTAAAAAAAACGCATTCCCCCCTCCCCCCCCCGCCAATGCTGGTAAATGGGACGATGTACGTTTTTCTTGCGCCGGACCCTTGTTATTGTTTTATACAAAATTTGGTATAAAACAATTATATTGTTTTTGTGTAATTTTTGCGTTTGCTTGCTATATGATAAGCAATCGAGCTGGTCAGGTGCAATATAGACTTGTTATTATAAATATTCCGTTTCGTCCGACAGAGATACGACCGACCGGGAGTAGCTCATTAATTTTTAGATTTTAACATTAATAATAATAATATAACTTATGTATTCGTATATATTTATATATTTTTTTATAATTAATAACTATACTAATTTGTTTTCTAACTATAATATGTTTGAACGTGTCTGTTTACTATCGAGCTACCCGATAACATTTTTTTTTTTTTGAAGGTCTTAACCTTTTTGTCATTGCAAATCGGGTATGGCGATAATTGTAATATTTTTTTTTGTAAGTGCCAAACTAATCAGTATTAATTAATATTAAGCTAAGGTCGTTTGTTTTTGACGCGTACTCGTTACAGATATTGATTATAATATTTTACACTTGTTCATAATAGTCGTTAGATAATGTAAGAATGTTAATTTTTATTATTACTTTATTTTTTTAGCTAATTTTTCACTTGTTTTTTTTTATACAAAATTATAATATTAAATTTGTGCGTTCCTAGAAAACATAAAAAAAAAAAATCTAAAACGAAAATCAATTCCAAAACACTGTGATATACTATATTATAATATGCGACCTTATATTTAATTTATTGAAATTCTTTGTTTTTTTTTTTGGGCGACAATATACCTTAGACGTTTTTGGTATTTCCAAGTCAATATAATAATATCGACTGTAAATTCTATACTTTATTCTTCTTGTGTTAAGATTTGTTCTACTTAATTGCGTCAGTGACGAGTACCTGTTGAAACAATATTATAATTTTAATTCTGTTAGGAAAAATGAAAATATTTAGTAAATAATATTATTTATCAATAATAATACATTATTAATCGTTTATACTAAGCGTTTAAACTGTCTCGGAAATAGTTTGTCCAATAAAAATTTTCACTGGTCACTTGTACGCGTTTGTATTATAAGTGAAAACTGGAAATTTTCATTGAGTTGGTACGGTCGACAGACTATATTAATAATATTATAATAAATAATGTTTAGCCTAAGTACCTACTAATATTAACGTCGGGTCGGATTGGAAATAAATCAAAAACTATAATATATTATTGTTATTATGATAATTAAAAGGCATTACCTCTGCAATTAATGTGTCCTAACGATTTGATTATTATATAATATTATAATATTGGTGGAATATTAATATTATTTGTAATTTTGTACATATTATATTATTGTAACTGAACAGAAATAACAATATTCTCATAATAAAAATATATAAATAATCCATAAACTTGTTTGTTTTTTTTTTTTTTGAATTTGTAAGGATTATAGACTTGTATTTATAATCTGTAGATGAAATGCTTTTCTTTTATACAATAAAATACTATTTTGGTCTATACAACTGTGTAGAAACTAAGAGACCTTTGAACCAAATCCGTCTGTAAAATAACAGCCATTAGGAGGTTAACGTGAAAAACGAATTTCCCGTTCAGTTTAGTTTAAGATTGAGAAATGTTTTTGATTTATTCTTGTCCAAGATAAAAACGTTTGTTCAAAACTGGGCTGACTAGGCTGAACACCTTTTACAAGTGTCCATTATTGATTTTATTTTGTGTGATGAAAATAAAAAATGTCCATTATACTTCGTACCGAAACTTATTAAAAAATATCCAACTTTAGTCTAAGGTAGGCCTAATAAAGCAGGTAAATACAGAATAGTAAAATTATGGATAAACACTGGCCATATTCAGTATACAATGTGAGTGTCATATTAAAAAACATCTAAAAAACGGTACCCGCCTAATCCAAATGGTATAACCTCAACCTAATCTATCAAAACCACCTTTTACCTAACGGCTAACTCTTACCTAAATCTAAACTAAACAATCCTAAAATCGACGAACTTGAGGCCTAGTGTTGGGTTTTGCTACATTCTAATCCAAATGGGGGAAATTCAATATGAAAGAATAATCGAATGAAAACATAACGGTAAGTAATTTCCACTTTATTTTGTATTCTACGACGGAGGATCAAAGAACAGCTCTAAAGTGAAGTAAACACCATTATGAAAAGTATGGCATTGCTTTTAACGTTCGAATCCTATTGGCACGTGTTTGCCTCATTCAACACGTTATACCTTTATAAATTTAACAAATTGTATATATATATATATATATATATAACATGCACCAGCTGTACGGGTAATTATTAATTCTCGTTCACCTACTTAAGAACTCTAATTTATTGATAACGGCATTAATTATTTACATTGTTCGCCAGATACAAGTGCATCGAACGTTGTAGCCGTGCTTTAATAATCTTTTAAACAGTTCAACAACGTTCTTGATTAATTAAAATCGATTTTGTCCGGCCTGCAAAGTATCTTGTTGTTTTAATTAATTAGGTATACTCTCTTGAGAGATCTATGGATTTGTCCAATAACAGCTATTCAATTAGCTTGCTTTGCCAAAACACAGTTCTCAGAACAATTATTATAAATGTGTTGATTTTTGTCATGTAAAAAACCAGAAAATAAATTATGTAACTGTTTCTCGAAAATTACTACCTTTGATTATTGTTTTACAATGATAAGTGTATGATTACCATAATATAATGGCCAACACAAACTTATACACTAAATAAAACTTTCACAAGTTGTCATTAAGCAGCACAAAGCACAAGTAATGTGATTAATTAAACAATTAAACACATAACGTAATATACATGTATATAACTTGAATTGAACTTTTTGTCACATAATCGATGTGATAATATTTATTAAATCTATTGTTAAAACCAATTAAACGGTGTTGTTCCATTGCGTTAATGTAAATCATTTAACAAATAGGCTTTCTCAGTAGCTCAAAACTAATTAATGCGGTATTCGTTTCACATATAATATACTACAAAGAGTAAGTCATAATATTATATGTGCAATATACATATATTATATTATATAATATTTAACCTACATACTATAGCAATGGAAATTGAAAGGGAAATACGTAAACGTTATTCTCTTATTATACATATTTAGGTATTATGAAAAATGGATTACGATGGCCTAATGCGTTTTATATTGTTCAATATAAAAAATAAAAAAAACCATACGGTTTCCATAGTATAAGTCGAATTGATAAAAAAAAATAAAAATTCCAGTTTAGTATGCATAACATAGTATGAGCTAAAAGTAATATATATTATTATTATGTAATAACGTTTTCGATATTTATGCGTTTCGCGAAAAAAAAAAAAAAATATTATTATAAAAAAGGCAAAGTCCCATTTTGTGATGAAGCTGATGCTGATTGGGGTTTTTCTACGTGGCGTTGATGATTTAGGTATAGACTAAAAATTTAAGTGTAAATTCAATTCATCCCAGCTATATTTAAACTTAATTTATAATATATCTATACTGTATTGTGTGTACTCATAATAAAGTATACATATAGGACCTATGCCATAGGTATTTTGTATACACAACGTATTTTCACTGAAACAAAAACTTTCCATTTTTTTCAAACAATATTTGTGAGCAGTACAAAAATGTACAAGTGTCATTGTCCACAACCATCTTATTTATATTCATCTTAGCCTCTTTTTTTTACATTGAACAGACCAAGAAATAATGTATATATTATATCATTTTATTTTTAAATTACATTTCTTAAACGGAATTGTCCATTTATATATATAAACCGTCGTACAGTTATTTTGTGTGACATTTTATATAAGTCTTAGCGAGACAGATAAAACGTTATCGACAATAAATCGAATACAATTATTTATTTGTAAATTATTTTCAAAACTTATAGAAATAATATGCAGGCGACGATTTTTTGACAAACTAAATTAAAATAGGCAATTTTACTGTTAGTCTTATATAACCGAGTCTAAAATTGTAGATGATCTGAATAGATCATCTACATATGTTTTATATTTTTATAACTTCTTAAAAAAGTATGATTTTCTTAAGAATTTGTAACACGGATAATTAAATGGATCATGAATTATATGAATGACGAGGCGTTTATGTAGTCTTAACTTGTGTTTTCTAGAATTTTCTTGTAAGGGTAGTTAGGATTATTATCGGTGTAAATATATACATGTTTATTATACATACCACCAAATCCTAATAATTGCTTAATTAATATAAATATTTGATTTAGTTAATATCTTATTTTAGCCTACAAAATATAGTATGGGTAAGCCAGGTCGCAAAACAATGTAAAACTGAGTAGTTTTTATGTTACTTAACTATTTTTTCGTTGTCGTTTTTGATGTATGTTATGACATTGTCTAATGTTTGAACTGGCTACTAACAGCTATGATATACATTAATTTTAAATTATGTAACGAGCAGTATGACCATTTTATAATTACTACTTTGTTCGCCCATGTAAAAATATTGTTGAATTAATTTTTGTCTGAACATTTTTTGCAGTCAGCTTTTTATATATTTATTGCGTTCCTTTGTACATAGACAAATTGACATAAGCAAAAATATTTTTCAAACGAACAGCTGTTGGCAAATTGCAAGTATTTTAATAGAAAACTAGTGTCTTTGAATCGTCCTGTATTGAAACAAGACCATCCCGGGATACGGCAGATTTTTCGGAAATTCTTCGATAAGTTTTCAAAGACCCTTTAGTTTGCTCTTGCCGTATAACTTGCGCGTTAACTTACTTCGTTGACCCGAAAGTAAATTTGATTAGTCTCAACCGCTGTATCATAATATTAAACTTGCCGTCTATCAAGAAGTGACCGCAATCAACTTAACTCGGGTGGTCTCTTGAGAGATTCACGTGCAATGTACAGAAATAAACATGGAAGCATATACACAAAAACATCTATCACAGTACAGCTGTTTTAAACGGTGTGTTTAATCTTTTTTGGCGTTTCCATCACCTCTTCCCGCTTGCCTATAGGTATAGACAACGTCTTACCGACGACGTGCTCGTCCGGTTGAGATAAGTTTTGATTAACGACACGGTGCTGGTTCCGTTTGGATAAACCAAGTTCAAGTAGTTAAAGAACTGCCAACTTTTAACGGCTTCGTCGTTTCCCTCGCACTCCAAAAGCATGTGGTTTTTGAGAGCCCTCTAGTAATCGTGCACCACAGCTATTGCAAAGAGTAAAATGGCCAAAAATTAATTTTATTTGTGAACCAATTTTTTAATTGTAAATGATAAGTGGATGCCGATCAAATTGAAGTTTACATCTAACCGTGAATGATTTAGGCGGTGTTAGTGTGTTGAGGGAAGAGAGCACAAAGGCCATTCGGTGAATGTAGATGAGATGAGAGTTATAAAAAAATATACTGTTAGAGAAAATCTAAAATTTTATCGGCACATATTATAGACATAGACTATATGGAAAAGGATAGCTCACATGTCTTAAAATGAAATCAGCGTGACCGTTGATTCAAGCATAAAATTTGTGTATTTTTTCCCCCAGTAAATGTTTTATTATATTATATTTTAAATAATTTATCGTTTGAAACAGTCCGCAGTCAATCGGATGTCGATTTAAACGTATCGTCCGTCGCGTTTGGTAACATTAATTTATTAAGCGTTTTCAATAATTAATTACAACTGTATGAACTAAAAACTACTTAAGACGTTATACAAGTTATGGAAAGCATCCGAGCTTTTCACCCACATCCATGACTTTGTACAAATGGCAATTTAATATTCCAGAACGCGTCGAATATTTTTATAGTTCTAACGACGTAGGTAAACTCGACTCGAGCGTTATTCGACATGTAAAAACACTTAAGCCCGAACTAAATAAATCGGCTACCCATTTTGGATTACTCAATAAAATATAAATCCGGCATTACATACACCAGACACGTTTGTCAATTATTTATTATTCATACACGTATGACGTAGAAACTATAATTAATCCTTCGATTTTCTAAGTCAATGTGGGTGTGTTTACTTATTTATCGGTTTATCTTGCCCGGTTCATAAATAGTTCATCGGTCAAACATTGCCCGTATAAATTATTATAAAGCTTAATTAACTCCGCAAACTTCTCGTGCAATTTACTTGGTCTATTTGCGTAGAATCAAGCGATATATTTTGTAAGGTCGTACCAAGAAGGTGGATTGTAAATACTGTTTAGTTATCTTATAATATTTAGTTTAAAAGTTAGTTTAGGCTTCAAAAGTCATTAACGAGACTTTTAAAATTAAAAGTATCAAAAGTATACAACTTTCTAATATTAAGTCTATTATAAAATTTAACATT